CTTGGTCATGGGCAACCTCAACACAAAATGGGTGGCAGACTTGGGGATGGGGAACTCCATCATCATTATGAGCTGAGTACTGTTTTTGTGGGTGTAAAGGAGGATCATCTTAGGTTGTCTCATAGGCTAACAACCACGGAATTTTAAAAATAACTCATTCGTACTGAGCTTGGGGTTGAGTCATCATGCTCCTAGACGGCCAGACCCTCCACGATCGGAAGAGGCTCCCATCGCTCTCAGAGTCCCATAGTAAAGATGATGGTAGTCACACTTCCACCCCTTCCCAGGCTTCTGAATGATCTCACTAAGTTGTACCATGGCGCCTTTGGTGCCATGGAGGAATAACAAAAGCAAAAGTAGATCATATATTTTTGGGAGGCCAGGGAGACCAGTGAAAAGGTGTTGGCCATCGCACTAGCTTTTGTACATGTGAACCTCCTCTCATGTGATGGGTACCGGGTTCATGTCCTCCTTCCTTGACTGCTCTCCACCGAGCCCATCGGAATACAACTTGGCAGTAGTCCAGAGTTACCTCGGTCTACTTTAGTAGGGGAAAAGTCACACGGGGGCTACTTCAGACTAAAGGTACAACCCTTGAGTTAGTCGAGGGTAGATGTTCAATGCATAGGCACCAACCTAGTGAAGGAAAAACGGTGTTTCTTGTTTGGAAGGTGGTCATATTGTCTCCTACAACTCAAAGGTTGTGGTATTCTGAGCAAGTCGGGTCCTCCTAGCATATACTAGGTGGGACAAAAATAACCACTGCTTGGAAGGTGGTCATATGTTCTCCTACAACTCAAACATTGTGGTATTCTAAGCAAGTTGGTTCCTCCCGTCATATACTAGGTGGGACAAAATAATCACTACGGGTCATCAATTTGGCGCGCAAGTTATGTGTATTATACCAATGACAGGCATGTTGGTGAAGTTGACCCACTAGCGATAACAAATAATTACTTATGGTTATGGACCCCATTATCGGCCTTAGATATTTACTTTTTTCGCTTAATAGGGGGTGTGTGTTACAAACATCATCGATGACGTATCAGGTTGCTGGTTAATAATGTCTTCCTTTTGTGTGTTAGATAGGAGCAACGGAGACTTGTGCTCGCTCAATTCATTTGCGCAGCCTGGTGCGCTTAGTGCGATGACATCCGTCGCACATGAAGCATTGCAAAATGAATCGTTACGTTACATGGAAGCCGTTTGCGAGCGTACAATTTGCCGCGCTCTCGTGATACAAGGGGCCAACCGTCACACGGGCGTAAATTTAAAAGGTTTAAATGGACGCCAAATATACAAAGTTATAAAAAGAAGGTTTAAATGGGTGCCAAAATTACATATGGGCACAATTAAGGCAGTAAATCTCATGCAATATTCTTCCAATCTGTCGCCATATCATGAAATTAATTCTTGGGCGATCCCTCCACTATAAATCCACCCCTCCACCCTGCCTAAACCAACAACTTTCTTTTCCTAGGCTAGTTTTATACCTTTACCGGAAATGGCTCGCAAGAAGTCGATCCGCAAGAAGGTGACCCTCAAGTACATCGCCAATGAGTCCAGCCGGCGCACTAGGTTTAGGAAGCGTCTCGGGGGGCTGATGAAGAAGGCGACCCAGCTGGCCACCCTGTGCGACGTCAAGACCTGTGTGGTGGTGTACGGCGAGCACGAGGCGGAGCCTAAGGTATTCCCTTCCCACGCCGAGGCGGTGGATATCCTCAACGAATTTAAAAGCATGCCAGAGCTAGGCCATTGCAAGAAGACGATGGACCAGGAGGCCTTCCTCACCCAGCGCACCGCCAAGCTCCGGGACCAGGTCGACAAGGCTCGCCGCGAGTGCCAAGACAGCGAGATTAGGTACCTCCTTTACAACATCATGCACGGCAACCACCCAGGCCTCGTTGGCCTCAGCGTCGAGGAGCTCGTCTGCGTTGGCTGGAAGGTGGACGAGCTCCTCAAGAGCCTCGGCGAACGCATGGAGAAAAACCATGTCCAGGCGCCACCGCCAGCTCCATGCGTCAGCACCGGCAGCATAGACATGGGGTCCCTGACACAGTATCTCGCGTCACCGCAGCAGCAGGAAGGCTGGCTTGACATTATGAGCTCCGGAGGGGGCGTCAACACCCAGGTCGGTTGCAACACCAGGCACGATGGCGCCAACTTCTCCAGCGGTGATCTAATGAGGCAGATGCAGTCCTCCGATCTAGGGTTCAGTTCGAGTCCTTTCCCTCCCATGTAAGCCAGGATGGATGAGGATCTCCAGCCACTTGCATCGCCAGCTATCGTGCGATCGATCCCTCGTTATTTATTTAGTTTCCTGAAAGTGTTATATTATTCGTGTATGTGCGTCGTTGTATTCGTCATGCTCTCTGAGCCAAGTCTCGTTTTTTTATTGTAATGTTGTTATTGAATTGTTATTCAGTTGTTCTCTTCCCAAAAGGCTATTTGTATGATCTCTGCTTCTCAATTGGTCGTAAATCTTAAGTTGCACCTGTTTGTTTGTGTCACAATCGTGTTTTGTTGTCTGACATTACTTGCACAGCCAAATGCCTGATATATAGTTGCTGCTTGATTGCTGTCAGGTCGTCAAAGAACCTTTTCTTTTGTGCTGGCCTGTTGGGGCTACTGTCAGGGCCTTTAATTTCTTGTTTTTTTGGTGTCTAGAATTTTACCTTTTCTGTGGTTGAAACGAGTTGAAGGTTCGTTCGCTTGGAGCTAGCTAAATGTACTGGATCATTAATATTTTCCTGGATAAAGATTTGAGAATTAATTACCTTCTGTGACTTAATTACATGGCAACAGCTTGCCACAACCAAACATTAAAAGTATGGATGCTCTCCATTGTGCTCTCCTTGGTTGGAGAGCAGTGTCATGTTCTATGTTCTTCAGACCCTCCTCCATTCTTCAGACACACAGGGGTTACTCTATGTCATGCCACTCACCGGACCTTCTTTAGCATGTAAGTTTGAGATTTGGACCTATTTCCATGATGTGTTGACTAGTTATTTTTGCTAGCGGTGAACTCTACAAGCTGGGACAAGTGACCTCATGAGTGCAATTATGGCGTTCCTTCCAAATTCCAAGCTATGATAATCAAGATTTTAAAAAATGTTACCACCAAACGCCAACTTTGACTAAGAGCGTGCTTGGATCCAAGGGACTATTTTTAGTCTGACTAAAAATAGTCTCTTTTAGAGGCTAAAGTTCCAAGCACCCCTGACTAAAGAGAGGCTAGAACTAGTCTTGAGGCTAAAAAAATTTAGTCATAGGAAACCTACTAAAATATGTATTAGCCCTCTCTCTCCTCATTTAATTCATCTCCTTTAACACATGCGAGTTCTGGATTGGAGGGTTTGGAGGATAATAAATGCTCAATAACTTGATTTTAGTCTCTTTAGTATTTGGATCCAAGCATGGGTGAGGCTAGCAAGTTTTAGTCCCACTATTTTTAGTCATGGGACTAAAACGTATCCAAGCACCCTCTAACTTCGCAACAAAGAAATTCGCGTGGCTTTTGGAGTCCACTAGATTTGAAGGCGTGTCCAGCAGGAACTGCTAAAACGCGAATGGAAACTATGCGTTCACACTGGTGTCTTCACTCTTCAGCATTAGTAGCACGGAGGAGGCAAGAATAATATTTACCATCAATAATAAAGTGTCTCCACTTCAGCATATCTCACGCACTAAAACTTTCAATAGTAAGCACCCACACAAATACATTTAGCTTCATTTTGGCGCTTAGAAGAAGAACATCATGCAAAGAACCATGTTAGAACTTAGAACCTATGGAGTTGATAAGGACTAGCCATCCTCTATAGGACAAATGCATCCGTTTCCACCACGTGTTTCCGTCCCTAGTGATCTAGCATAAGTAGTCGGATTTCTGTTGTATGGAAGCCATTACCATTTCTAGTTGACCTTGGACATTTTACATTTAAAACATTATGTTCTTATGGAATATATATAGGTAAATAGAGAAACAGAAAGGGATGCATGACGTCAATACTCATGGATGAGCACTATGAGAATAGGAGGCAAAATGCAGTGAGACAATACCCGTGACAAGAGGATAATAATGTGTATGGTTACCAAAAGGCAAGGGATGTGACATACAATTGATTAGTTATGGATAGAGCTGCAGGAAATAAGGAGCCAAGGTGAATATACTAGTATTTATGTACCAACTGGTTCTGTGTTTTTACAATGTAAAATGATGTGAACAAAACAATCTATGTGTTTGTAGGTGGCATTCAGTACTAAGGACACAATCCTTCCATGTTGAACATATAACAATGGGTCGGCCTAGAATGTGGATTTTTTTGAAACTATGATGATTTTTATAGCAAATTCGGAAACTATACACCCTAATGGAGAAAAATCAAAACTATCACCCCGTCGGCCTCCTGTTGGCCGAAAAGGGACTTTTCGGCCTCCTGTTAGCCGAAGAGGGACTTTTCGGCCAACCGTTGGCCAAAAAGGACTTTTCAGCCAACAGTTGGCCAAATGGTCCCTCTTCGGCCAACACCTGCTCTACTTTTTAGAAAATTCATATCAAATAGGATTTTTAGTATTTTAATTTGATTATTTTTGCATTAGATTAGAAATTTTATGAAGTTTCTGTAGATATCAACTTTGACTAGATTTGAAAGTTTGAATTTGAATTTTCATGAATTTTCTCAAATCACTAGATTGCCTATAAATTGAGCTAGGAGTATTCTTTTTAGACGATTCATTTTGCTATTGGTTCTTTGTGACTTTGTTTATCGGTATTAATTAATTGGTGAATTTTAGGATTATTTAAAATTAGGTTTTTACGTCATTCTCTCCCTCCATTTTATCCCGCCATTTTATTTCCCGCAATTCTCTCCCTTCATTTTCTTTCCCGCCATTCTCTCCGGCCATCTTCTTTCCCGCCACCTTCTTTGTCGCCATCTTCACTTCTCAACTTATAAAACGAGCCTCATGGTGTCCACGATCGTAGATAACATCGTCTGACACGGTCTGTGTCTCCTGCGTCAGTGCTGCTGGTGGAGTGTGAAACACTGTCTGAGAGAAGTCATAAGTGTTTGGAGCTTCGTCATCATTATCGGAGAGTGTTTCACACTTATGACTTCTCTCACACAGTGTTTCACACTCCACATGAAGGCATCATCGTCATCCTCCGTCGATGCAGTACTCCTTAGTGTGGCGGGAGAGAATGGCGGGAAAGAAAATGGCGGGAGAAAATGGCGGCAAAGAAAATGGCAGGAAAGAAAATGGAGGGAAAAAATTGCGGGAAAGTATTTTTTTTCATGTATTCTCGAGGTGTATGATAAGAATGAGAGTGGGTAAATGAAGTTATAGTGCCATACAAAATGATTTCTGGACTCGACATAAGTGAAAAATCAAGGATAGACATCACATTTAGATTTCTGAAACACAAGAGCAAGGATAGTATGATTGCTTTGCCAATTGGTCCATTTTTTGAAGGAAATAGACAAATGCAGGTAAAAGGGTTAACATGGGTTAGACACTTAAATGTTGAGTGGCAGCTAGTGATAAGGAGTTAAGGTGAATATATCTAGCTATCCTTTTCACTATGCGTCATTGGGTAGTGGGGTACGTGGTTTCTAGCTGGCTATTACTTAATATCTAACACAAGACCCTCTTCATATTTGGACACTCCAATGGTGTGCAAAAAGAATGGTGAGGGGAGCTAGGGCACGTTTCACACGCTTGTGGGGAGCATCATAATATTGAGATTTTGTAAATGGAGTTAGAATCCTGTAACGCCAAATGACTATGATTGTTATCAAGGTAACCAATCAATCAAGATAAGCATCATAGTTAGTTGTCATGAGGGAACAATGGAAATTACCCTAACTTATCAGATGAGTGTTGGATCACTGCTGTTTTCAATATAAACATAATGTTTGTGGAAAGGGGTCAACGTGGTTAGATCATTTAATGAAGATTAGTCGTTAGTGTCTACATAACAACGTGTATGCAGTGCGCTCCCTAATTTCCGATGACTAGCCTGGAAAATGCGCCTGAAATGGATTATGAGTTATTTTCCTTTGACTAACCCATTCATGTTTTATGTTTGAAATAGCAATGTAGGTAAAAGGAGTGAGGGCAAGTTGCACATGTTTGTTAGTTAGCATTACAATACTAATATTTGGTAACAGAGTTGCAATTTTACATGATGCAGAATGACTACGTTAGTTATGGTAACTGAAAAATCATGATTAGCAAACACGACTTGTTTTTGATAAAAGTATAAGGTTAATACAAACTAGTTAAATTTACAACTGCTTCCTTGTAGTTGCCAAACCATAATGATATGTACTGTTAAATATGGATTGCCTACTAGTAAAAAGTCAAGGGAATGGACAATTCAAGCATAGACAGTACAACTTTTCGCATGTGAACAAGGGGGCAAGGTGAATAGGATTGGTTCTTTAACTGGTTTTTCATCTTTAGTTGACATTTGATATACAACATAGTGCCCGTTCTATATTCCACACGATCACAGGAAATTACAAATGTGATAAATCCAATTGCTATTGTTGGTTACTTTCATATAATTGAAATTTGTATTTATTTTATCATAACAACGCTCCTAAGAGAGAGAGAGAGAGAGAGAGAGAGAGAGAGAGAGTATTAAAGATACGACAAGGAAATCAACTCAACGAAGAACGAAGAACAAGCAGGGGACATGAGATTTTAACATGGAAAACCCCTCCAACACGAAGGGGAAAAAACCACGGGAGCCAGCCAGCCAAACTTCACTATATCGGGGGAGTTACAAACGCCGGGGATTTACAACTGATCAACTTATCATGTGCAGTGGCTTACAAGAGGTATATATAACACAGGTTACCTACGTCAAAACTAAATCCAATTGCTATTGTTGGTTACTTTCGTATAATTGATATTTGTATTTATTTTATCATAACGACGCTTCTATAAGAGAGAGAGAGACAGAGAGAGAGAGAGAGACGATAAGCAGGCGACACGAGATCTTAACGTGGAACGTCCCTGTCGGGCCCAAGCCTACCGGCGATGGGCCTCGCTCCGCTCGCTCGCCAGAAGTTAGCCTCCCTCTTTATACTTGAATTTGGAGCATAACATAACACACACACACACACACACACAGAGATGTGTTTATTTTATCCTGACGTTCCCCTGATATAGCTAGCTAGCATACATATCATTTACATCGTACATTTTGCACCTCTTCTTCTTCTTTTTTTTTTT